TTCTTCTCCATTTTTTTCTTTTTTAACCCTGTTATTGGTTTTGTTCTGTGTATGGAGGAATTTATTTTTAGAATTCATGCATTGGGGTTATATCGATCGGCATTAATCGGCGGTTGAAACGGCCGCTTCGGGATGGATTGAGAGAAAATTTCATAGGCTGTTAGAAAAAAAAAATGGATGACATTGTGGAGAAAGCTGAAGGTAGATTTGTTTGAAAGTGTGGGACAATTATTAAATTTTGTGTTTCAATTTTCAATTTTCAATTTTTGGGAATTTCGGACTAAATTGAGAACTTATTTATTAATTTAAAATTCAAATGAAAATAATGAAAATTTGAATAACTTGATATCCCATTAATGTATATTCCCCCACCCCTCAATCGGTTTGAGTGACAATTATTCCTCCGCTGATTGATAAAAAATTCATTCCCTTGATTTTCCGTCGATATTGCCGTTTGATTGTCGGCAAAAATTGATTACGAAAACAATTATTCATTGAATAGGTCGTACAGCGGGCGTTTGAGTGCTGTCGAAAAATTCGATTGCAATCGTTATTCAATTTTCAAGTGTATCGCTTTTTCGGTGGGTTTGATTCCCATTACTTATATTTTTTATCAACAAAGTGGTCAGTGACACTCCCACATCCACTGCGCCGATTCCAGAATTTTCATAAAAAAAAAAAGTAGAGAGGGAACAAAAAAATGATAGCATTAAGTGCTAAACGCGTGTACAACACTTTTTTTTCTCACTCCCCCATATTTCACGGATTAACGTAAAACTCGATCCTATGAAATATGCATTTTTTCTTATCGCCCATGTCGACGAGTTAAATTTATCACTGGGGACTAGTCAAATGGCCAGAGACAAAGGGACACCAGAGATGGTTCGATGTTGTTATCGAAATGATAAAGGATTTTTGGGGGATGAAGTGGACAAGGAATAAAGTTGAGTGTAAAGAGGGGAAATGAAACTAACACTCGGGACAAGTTTTAATTAGTTCTTGACTCTCTTATCGCGGGATACGTCGAACCCGATGAATTTTTTATATAAATCACCCAGAATAATCATTATTATAGGGTTTTACTCCTCATATCTCGCCTACCACTGGGAATAACTCTAATTATCACTAATGCAAGAAGTTATTGGACTGCTAATAGCGAAATCGATGGAAATTGTACGGCATATCTAACTTTGGATGTTTAATTTAAAATTTTAATAATAGTCGTCTCGTTGATTAACTTGATAAATCCGATAAACTCCGCAGCAACAAATATTACTCACCGTTATCACTCATTTATCCGTGAAAAACTGTCGTTAAAACTCGGTGGAAAAGTGCGGTTTCATTTTCACCCATAATTAATGTCTTCATCATCCAACCCAACTTTTTCTCCCCTTTCAGGAGTGAAGAATTAAGTTGAAAGTGCATTTAGAACACGTGCAGTCGTGCAGATTTCCATGGTAACCGAAGAAAAACGAGTCTTCATTTACTAACGGAAAAACAAAATTTTATTAATAAAATTTTGGATAATAGCCAGGTGTTAAATTGCCACGATTATCACTCGTCTAGTAACAATTACACTATTTATAGTGTCTTGACAAATTTTTTTTAAATTGATTTTTATGTGATTTTTTATTAAATTTTTATTGAAAACTGTTATTGAATTTTTGATTTTCTTGTTTAAAAAATTCAAGAAAATTAGAGTTTTCATGTTAAATGATAATTTAATTTTGAATAAATGTCGATGTCAAAAATTATGAATTACCAAAATGAAAAAAAAAATGCCGACTCTCAATAACAAAAACGACTAACAAAGAAATGAAAAATATAAATTAATTTAATAAAATATC